ACGTCAGGGGCGCCAAAAATAGTTCTTAAGGGCTAATTGGGAGGTTCAGAGCTGGGGCTCAACATTTGGGGTGTCAAAAACAGTTCGTGAAGGTTTGTATGTATTTGGGAGGGTCAGAGCTTGGGTTTGGCCAAGCGTGCTCATTCGTCGTTTGTGCAGCAGTTCCTCCAGCTTGATCACGAACGCTCCCATCGCTTGTTGGACCACCACGTGGGCGTCCAGCACCTCCACCTCCAGCTTGGGGGTGAAGTCTTTGACCGCGAATTGGAACACCTCGTCCCATTCGGGGGCCAGGTTTTTTTCCACCGTTGTAGTCCTACCAGACCAGCAGCAGCAGCAGCAGCACCCGGGGAGAAAGACAGAGAGAAAGACAGAGAGAGAGAGAGAGAGGGGGAGAGACCAGGGGGGGGGGGGGGAGGGGGGTGGTCTCGTCTGGTATTGTTATCATCTCCAGCCTTTCGTCCACTCGATTAAACCGATCCCATACATGGAAGAGGTTCAGTTTTTTAGTAGAGGAGAAAGCCAAGCCGTGCACCTGAAGGACTACGTATTACTGTAAGTGAGGTGACTGTTCTGTTCGGATATGCCGCACCGTGAAGGGAATGGGGGAATGAGCACACTACGCGCTGTAAGAGCAGGTACGTGTGTTCGTGCTTTACGGAAACACGCGTGACCTTTTCGGCTCCGCTCATCAGCTCAGCTTGTTCGCAGAGACCGAGAAAACGACCAACCTCTGAGGCTGCTGGCAGACATCACAAAGATTCTTGGGATATGTATATCTTCGATGTATCAAGAGCAGAGGTTGACGTATGGAGACCAAGGGAAGAAATAGGTCGTGCCGTACGTTCTCGATTGACTCACGAGACCTAAACTCAGAGTACTCCTGCGGACAAAATTTGCTCGACAATCGTGGAAAACACCCCCGCGTAACCGCTTTCAATACGCGCTCCCTTCTGCCCTCCTCCCCCCCCCCTTCTCTCTTGACCCCTCCCCCCACGATTGGCCATCGGTGAATGCTGCTGTG